AACGGATGGGTGGAAGTTATATAACTAAGTCCCTTAATGAGCTTAAACGTCCTTATCAAATCCTCTCTTACCCTACGCCGTTTCAAGGAAAATAATCCCAAGCTACTTAGACGATCTTCGTACGACTTCCCTCGTTGACGTTCGATCATTCTCGTTGTAACTTTCTGAGTCTTTTCTATACGCAAGGCGTCACTACGGAGGTAGGGTGCTCAGGCCTGAACACAGTACTCTACATGTGGCGTAACCACTGCTTTAAATAACGGCAAGTATACTTCTGCTTTAGTGTTACTCAGCGCCTTCCTAAGGCAAAACAACTCTTGTCCGCTTTATTGACAGCATGGCGACACTGTGCAGCAGGCATAAAATTGTTCACTATAATGACACCTAGATCGCGGGCTTTATCAGTACACTGCAATGATACAGATCCTGCACTGCAATTCCGCTACCACTATTGGTCAATAGTTGACATTGATTGGCATTCTGAGGTAAATCCCATTGGCTCGACCAATTCACCACACTGATGATATGCTTAGCCAATGTAGCTCGGTTTCCCCTACTGACTAGCTTAAAGTCATCTGCGAAGACAGCAGGGATCCTCAAGAAGAGGAGCCAGGTCGTGTAGAAACATAAGAAACAACAATGGACCCAGTACCGAACGTTGGGGAACTCCACACTAGAACTCGCTTCCCCAACCCTTACTCGGAATGTTCTTCCACGTAAGAATTCAGATGGCCACAGTTATGGTTTAGGATGCAATCCAAACCATATCAGCTTCTCAATTAAAAATCGATTATTCACTTAGTCAAAGGCTTTATGGAGGTTCAAATTGCGCACCTCCACAGACATCCCACTATTATCGAGTAGTTTCATTTAAAAAGCACATGTGAAGATGGACGGTCCCGACTGAAAGTCAAGCTTGCAACGCTGGCTTTAAACTATTTTGTCTGGAACAGTTTAATGGTTGCTGTTTTATACCGATGGTTTGTTTAACTGACACTTCTGTACCGTGTCCTATTATTCATTCCTAAAAATTTATTTTTGATAATGTAGGTTTAACTCATCAGTTGTCGATATTGTAAAATGCTATACATATACCCATCTGGATACATGAAGTTATTTTTACTTGACTTGAATTGACTTGAATCATTTGATCTCCGCAAGAGGTAATTAATGATGTCACTCTAAAGGGAGAAATTGTGGTACGCCGCCCGACACGACTACACAAGGTTGTCAAAATGATTAGCTAATATAAACGTCAAGAAACGCTGGAAACAAAACTAAAAGCTTCAAGCCACGAACCACAAACTACACTTCAATTAAACGCTTCACCTAATCTTTGTGCCACAAGCCAGCACCCGCTAATCCGCTCAGGCTGAGAGGAATAAAACCGGAAGGCACGCGGATGGAATTTCGGATGGATTTTGACTTGGACCGCACGAATTCAAGACACGATACTGATTAAAGGATTAGAGGAACCAGCGCTTCAGACGTACGTTAGAGTATGACAGCCATAGACCGCTCCACGATGGAATCGAATGTCAGGTTCAGCACCGACACGAAATGTGTGCATCCGGTCTGGCTGTTTACGGTCTTCGTACGAATGCACTTTCTCTCTCGTGTCCGTTTCATGTCCTCTATCGGAACGCATTCATGTGATCACGCCGCCCACCCTAGCCATGTTTGCTCCCTACATGTCGCCTAGCATTTCCAACAGTTTGCGCGATATTCAACGTGTTACCTACTCACAGGAACGGCTCACACCTTTGTGCTCCGCATCGCACAGTAGGCTCGGTAACCTTTAGCCTTAATCTATCTTGAACGCTGCTTGACCCCACTCACCTGCTTGCATGTTAGCCTGAATGTGACTCCCGCGGTCGTCTATAGTTCACACCGGCACAGCTCAGCGCACCGTAGCTTTCGTGCTGTTGTCCATGTCATTCATTCAAGCGAGTTTCGTCGTGGCTTAGTAATCTGTACAAACAACACCTGTAGTGGTGAATAGGTCACGATCTCTTGGTAGTTTCGAGTCCATGACGAGAAGTGTAACCTCATCAAGAAAAAGGGAGTATGCTACAGGAGTCTCAAGGCAGGTCGAGTATCTGCTAAATGTGACGGCGAAGGGTGCAGAGTGCCCGTGATAAACCCGCTTGGTGGAAGCTTGGGATTAGTCGATTTCGGTCTGCCTCTGCGGCACCTAAGGCTGCCACTCGCAAAACCCCAGTTACAAATAAGTACTGCATGCTGTTACTTTAGACCGGTTCTTTGCATATATTTTTAACACTCCTTATGTGATCACCGAAGTTATGTACAAACTGTATGATATAAATTTCACGTACACCTTTGGTGAGCCGTAGCTTTACCAGAGGTTTTCTTGTATACCAGTAGAATGATACTTGTTTCTAAGTAACTACCTTATACATTTTCAGCTTCCGGATACTGCACCATTCCTTATGGCAACTAAAAGAGAATACTGGACACTGAATGTCACGTTTTCAACGAATAATGGTAAAGAAGATATATCTTCGTGGAAACTAGGGACTGACACAAGTGCTGACGTTTTAACTTGACAATCTTCAGCATCCTTATGAAACAAAACACCTATCAGCATATTCACATTTTTCGGGGAAACAACACTCGGAGAAATATGAAAGGTAGTTTGAAAACCCAACAATCCAATTTTCGTGTAGACTATCAGAAAATGTAGCTGCCACTCGTATTAGTTACAAAATAGTGTAAAAAATAGCAGAAGGGAAACCGTTTATTGCTGGTGACTTTATCAAAGTGTATAGTGGAAGCTGCGTATGATTTGTACCCTGAAAATGCCAATTTGTTTGCAAATATGTGCATTTCGGCAGGCGCAGTTGTGCGTAGAACAAAAGAACTTGATATCATAGTGCTACGGATACATGAGAAATCTGTAATCGTGATATGCTGTGGAGCTGGATGGGTCTACTGATCTATAGAACATATCACTACCTCTCGTGTTCCAGCGCAATATCAACTCGTAGTTTCAGCTAACGGGAAAGCCGGCATCAGTCGGTAACATGATAAGAACGACAACTGGAAAGGTCATTCTCGTAGAACTACATAAGATTTTCCAAGACAATAACATTTCGTGGAATCAGCTTAGAGGTGTCACAGTTGATGGAGAGTGAAACATGGCTGGAGTAAGGAAGGGTCAGGTAGAGCACATTAGGACTCGGTTGGAAGATTTGCACATCTGGGTAGCTCCGTTCATACACTGCATTTTACATCCCCACACATTCTGTGGGAAAGGCTTAGGCATTTCTGGTATGCAGAAACTGGTCGTTCCTATGGTTAACTTCATTCGGGGACATGCTATAAATCAGCGTCCGTTTCAGTCCTTTCTGGGAGATATTGATTCTATTTGTTATGCTTTGATCAGTTGTGAGGAAATGCATTTCGCTTTTGCAAGCTCCATAACGCAATGGTTACATTCCTCAATAAGACAGTAGAGCTGACGCACAGACGTGAGGTCGTACCTGGTAATCGAGTTGGCATTTGTGGCTGACGTCACATCCCAGATGAGTGAAATGAGCCTGAAACTGCAAGGTAAGGGGGACCTCACCTGTGATTTCTATAGAGGCACCAACGGATTTCAAAGAAAGCTATCACTGTTTTTATTACAATTGGAAAGAGAAAGGTTTGCTCATTTGTACCGTCTTAAAGAGTTTGGCGTTACAATAACTGAAGTTGTCTATTGGATTTCCGATAAAAATTATTCGTGACCAGAAGAATCATTTTCGTGAGATGCAAATAGAAATTGGGTGTTGCGCGCCCGAAAACACTGCACTACTATGTCACGCTTCTATGTCATAACATCTCATCAGATAAAGTTAGCAGGCACCGAACCAGAGATCATTGACATGTTAGTTGTGACCGCTACCCCTAAGCCACCGGGTCACGACGAGCAACACTTGGTAAACGAATCAATGAACCACCCGCAATCTCAATGTTGACCGCGATTCCCATTGAAGTGAGCCTTGCTCTTTCGATCACGAGGACCGTAGCTGATGCAGAATGGAGAGCGGAATTCCTCTGTTCCGGAATTCGTTTGAGTGCAACCATAATGATGGTTCAGTTGAACTACAGTTGGAGCTAATTGATTTGCAAGCAAATGACTCGTTGAAACGGAAGCACAGTGGAGAAATTTCTAACGGATTTTACAGCTGCTTACTTGAGGCAGTTGTCCCCTTTTCTCTAGGTATCCCCGGGGATTGAGGCTTCCAAAGGTATGGCAGCCGCTGTGTGCACATATCTGAACCATACTACCCTATACTTTACAATACTCCGAGAAGGGATTATTTTGAACACGGCCAGTACCGCTTGGGCTCACCAACTGAATAAGAACTCTCGAATGGCGGGCCCAGTAGGATTGTGGGAGTCTAGTCTTTAAATGCAGGTGTGTGTGTGATACTTGTGAAAATGGGCAATCTTCATTCACGTCAAATCCCGCTGTGTGTTGTTGTGGCTTTTGTAGGCCCTGTGGGCCACTAAATAGGCAAGCTTAACTACCCTATACCGCCTCGTATCCCCCAACCCGAGTGCCATCCCCAATCATTTCTAAGCGTATAACTATGACTAATTGCACACATTGTGGGTTACTCCTCACCACCACTCCCTGCCGACCCATGTTGACTAGAAAATACTGACCGCGGAATTCACCTTAGGTCTTGATCTCGGGACTTTTCTGTTCCAATACAGCCTGGTGTTTTGATCCCTGGCAAATATAGCGGCCGCCTAATTGCGCAATAAATCCGGGGCGGACCAGGCCCGTCCCTTTATGGTTGTTAATCTCCACCATCCGGGCCCGGGCCCGTCCGTGGAAACACGATATCCACTTGGGCGGGACCGGCGGGGTGGGACATCCCTGCGGGGGGTCATACACCTGTAGTAACGCTTCCCTGGAATCTCCCCAAAGACAGAACAGCAAAAGTCCCAATTAACGTCCCCTTGATGGTCGGCCGGAAGGGGACAAACTAGGTGTTACAACAATTCCCCCCGGTCAAATCTGATTCGAGACATATACGGGCGTGGGGTACACCCGAAATCCGTCCGGCACCCCGGCCGGGGGGGGGAGCTCCCCCCCCCTCTATATCTCTACGGCGGTAACGCCAGCCCCCCCCCGGGTCTCCGGCGCTACCGTGGATAGGGGGGCGCTTGTTGTGTTGTAGACATAGGTCAAAACTCAGGATCGTACCTCAGGTTCATATCACCTTTCACCACGACGTTTGGGGGGCTCCGACTTGTGAGTCTGACTTCAGGAATAGTGAAAATTTTCGGGTGCCACGTGATTGCCCTACCTTTGGAGCCTTATATCGATATCCGTTTAACGTGGGTTTGTTGTTGTGTGTGGGATGATAAATGTGTGGGGCAAAACGGGTGACATTTGTGTATGCATCCGGGATTTGGGGCTAACTAAACTTAAATTAATTTGTCGAATATGAGAAATTTTAAGATATGGCTTTGATGTAATGCGGGGGGAACAATATATTTGTATGGGGTTAATATTCCTATGTTCCCGAAAGTGGGTGGGGGTGTTTGGGACAATCCACATCTCCCCCGCCTGCGGGACGTCTGCCTCTGCAATGTTAATATGGTCATTGACGGTGACTAGGGTGCACCCCACCAGGTCCGTCCGTGACCCATCCCACCCACCGCGTCACCATACTAGGCCCGTACGGCAGCACCTGTCCCCACACCCCCCCCCGCCCGCCCACCCCCCGTACCCCCCGCCCCCCCCACAAGCCCCGTCTCTCATGACCCCCCCCCCTAACATGATTCCCACCTTGGGGCCCCGTTGGCCCTAAACAACCACGGTCCCTGCCGGCGTTCCAGCACGGGGCCCTACATCACCCCACATCTGGCCCAGTACCGGCGCTGGGTGGCAGCTGGTCGCCCCACCCCACCCTCCTTTAGCAGCCCCCCGCGGCAGTCCGGCCGCTTCACCCCCCCCCAGGCACCTCAGCTCGGGGGAGCCCGGGCGCGTATCCCGGTTCCGCTAGTGTCCCCCCCTACTCCCCCCCACCCACCCTCCCGCGCTGACCCTGGGGTGCAACATGCCGCATAGCCCACATTCTTTGCCCACATCCCCTTCACTGTCGTTTGCCTCCCCATAATCTAATGGCGTGTGGCGCGTTGCCTTACCGTTTCCTTGGATCCCCCCCCTGTGCGGATCCGTCCGTTTTGGGCCGGACCTTCAGCAGCCGTGTCCCCCGGTGATACCCACCCCGATTGGCCCCCCCCCGCTCCCGCTGTGTCCCAACACACCCCCCCCCCCTCGCAATCCCGACCGCCTCCTAAACGTCCCCCCATAGCAACCCAGTACTCCGGCCCTGGGCGAGCACCATCGCGTGCTCTCTTGCCGGCTGCGTAGCCAATTCCCCTTAATGTCACGCCTCGGTAGATACACTCTGGGACTATCGGAAGAACACCGGTGGGAATCCCCCCCAGCGGTCGTGCCGGTAGGATGCCCGGAGTGGCTACCAACCACACTACTTCCCACGATCAACCCCATTCGCAATCTACCACCCCCAGCCCCCGCCACCCCCACCATCTTAGCCTACCGCCGCCAAAACACTCAATAATAATACAAATCATTTCCTCCATATCCCCACAACCCTACCACCTCTGGGTGCCCCCCGCCCCCCGGTCAGTAATATGCCCCCCTGTTGATGGCACCCAGCACTAGAGCGCCGTTTCTTGGGCGTGGCCGAGGCCACCCCAGTGACACGCTCACCTGGACCCCAGACCTCTCACCCAACCCGAAACACCAGGATGCGGCCAATAACCCATCCACAGCACACTCCAATCTTTTTATTCGACTCCATCCCGGTGTTCCCTCCCTTGGTGTGATTACAGTCGGGAACGTCCAATATGCACCCAAGGTCGCGATGTAATAGCGAGGGGCATGGGCGCCGCGGCTGGGCATGGGTGCGCCCCCGTACCCGTACCTCCACCCCTAGCACAGTTACGCTGTATCTACTGAAACTCTCGTCGCCTTTGGCGGGCTTCATTTTGCTCCCACAAGCCCCCCCCCCCCATTTCACTCACACCCCTATACCTTTCCTCCTGGCAAGGGGTATAATCTAGATACACTTGTGGCATCAGGGGAGACCGATCTGCGCCCCCATCATGTTGCTGTTTCCCTGTGCCTTTCTACAGACCTCCCTGGCCACGCCAGGCATCCCACCCCTGCCCTGAGTCTTTGACCTACGAGGTCCCCGACCGCTCACGGATCGGAGTGCCCAGACGCGCTCCACAGGCCCCCACAAGGAATGGCCAGTCTCATTTCGGGTATCGCCACCCACGCGGCCCGGCTTGGCAAAGTTCCCTCGCCCCTTATGGGCCTACCTAGGCAACTACCAACGTAACTCCCGGCGTTCCTGCCGGTGAATGTTGCTCGGCTCACGCTGTGCTATAACACACTTTAGCCTGCCCTCAGGACTTAAACCGTACGGCCCATCCTTGCCTGTGCCGTGCCCGGTCCCCAGTCGGGCCAGCAGCCGGCCCCCCCAGCCATAGCCCTTAGTACTCGAATAATGGTAACAACCCGCAATACCCGTAGTAAGACCTCACCTTGCAGATCCCAGTGGTGGGGGCCCCTCCTCCCCGCGTCCCTTGATTTCCCCACCCGCCCCGGGAACAAACTTGGAGATATATGGTCAGGCCCACCCGCGCCCCGCAGCTTCCCCCCATTGTGTACCCCGGGCCCCTAGGTGGGCGCAGGGTTGGAGCTATCTTAGCAGCCTTGCGTCGACGGCCGGCGGCGGGACCTACGATACCAACTTGGTTTCAATCATCACCCCTTCGTCTCTACTGGACCCTTACGCTAGCCATTCAAATCCCCCTAGCAGCTATTAAATTAGGCTGGCTCCCCCGCTGTTCCACTTGGCTAAAGGAAAAACCCCCCCTTCTATACAGCATATTAATTCCCCTAACATGTACGTCTTAAAATGGTGTGTTTTCAGACTCGGGTAAGTGTTTCTATTGAAAATGGGGGGGGCGTGGCCCATCCCGTAAGGTTTGGTGCAAGATAAACAGACTTGAGATGGGGCACCAACCCTCCCCCCCCCCCCCCACCCCCCGCCCCACCCCCCCCCACTGTCCCGCCCACTCCCAGCACCTCCCGCCCCCCTCCCCGCAACCCCCTCCCCCCCCCCTCGCTGACCAACCCCGCACCCAGGCCTCCGGGCGTTACCCCGTAAACAAATTGTGACAACATCCCCTGGTTAACCACCCCGAACCTGCACGCAGGGTCAATCCCCCACCACACCTCCCCCCCGGGCGACGGCCTCCCCAACACTCATTTAAAGGGACACGAGTCTGTGTGAACAGCCAGCAGCTGGCTAAATCGTACGCATTGGGTGTCATACATATTTATGCTCACGCAAACATACCAAAACAGTGGCACGTCATTAAATGCCACCCCATACGCCTCCGCCTATTTTCTTGCCCACCCCCTCCCCTCCGGATCCGCTGTCAAGGGCCTATTTCCCGGCCCCACCACCAACCGCCCCGGCACCGGCTCGCCCGTCCCCCGCCCCCCCCCCGGAGAGCCCGACCCCTATTGACCCCCCGGCCCCGCGCCCCCCTCCCCGCACCACCCAACCGGTCCCCAGGGTTCCCCCCCCCCGCACCACACCCCCCCACCCCCCTCCGCTCCGCGTGCTTCTAAATCCACGGTCCCCCACCCGAAGCCCCCCGCGCGCCTCTATCACGCCTTCTGTCTCACTCATTAGCTCCCCCTATAGCTACTCCCCCACCCCCCTCCACCCCCCCCCCCTCCCAGCTCCCCGGCCTCATTCTGCCGTCCTCCCACTCCACCCCCTCGCGGTGACCCTGTGTCCCCCCACCCCAGGCCCCCCCCCGGTGCCTTCCGCCCCGGCGCCCGCCCCCCACTCATGGGCGCCGGTCCCGCCGCCCCCGTGCCCAATCCCGTCCCTCCCCCCTCCGCCTCACCCCGACCCCTCCAGGCCCTGCCCCCCCCAAGCCCCCCCGCCCCACCCCCACCCCCAACGCCCTCTCCCCCCCCCCCCGCATCCGGGCCCGGGTTTCTCCGTCCAGAGCATCTCTCGACGGCGGGCTGTCCCCAAACCCGACCCCCGCCCCCTCCACACCCTTCCGCCCCCCCCACCCGCCGCCCACCTGGGCCGACCCCCGCCCCCCTCCGTGGCCCTCCCCCCCCCCCCCCCGGGCACTTCGTTCCCACGCCCTTCATCCCCCAATCCACCCCCTCCTCTCCCGCCTCCCTCCCCGCCTGACCAGCACCCGCGCCCCCCCCCTCCCACACGGCCCCCGCCGCCCCCCACCGAACGCCCCCCTGGCC